ATCCCCGATCTGGTATACCACAGTCCTTTGAATTTCTTCTCAATGTCAGAGGTAGGGATACTTAATGTTGTGATCACTTTGGCCGCCAAACAAAGTGTATCATTAGAATCTACAGGATCATCAAGAGACTGCCTCCGAGATTTCTCATCATCAAGTGACAAACCAGAATAAAACTTATCAATTGTTTCTTTCATTCTACCAAAGGTTGAAAGCAGGCAAGTAAATACAGAAAAATGTCCGAGAAATTGGAGAGATGAGTCTCATAAGATTTTGCCAAATCTGAAACTGCAATCTGTAAACATAAACAAACAGTTTTAAAACGAAAAGGGAAAATTTATACTCAAATTGCGAAAGGCTAAACAAAAAGAACTCACTAACATAAGAATGTATTTTTTTTATTAAAATACACAAAAGATAATTAACACTGATTGGAAATTTTGCACGTAGTTATTAGCTGAAAATACAAAAGAAAATCAAGAAATTACACCAAAATAGTCGCATCAACATAAAGTTAAACCTGTAACATCATGCAGGCATACATTATTTAAGTAAAACGAGCATATTTTGAGGTGATTAACGAACTCAAAATTTGGAAATTGTTTGTTACATGTCAAACTAGACTCATACAATTTTTCAACAATGTTTTATATCATTGATTAATACTATCGTGGATCCTCCGGGATCGATACGTGTCGTCCCTCAAAGAGGTTGGAAAAACAACATCCGCATCACCTTTTTCTGGTTTAGTTTTGAAAATGGAGAAAACGTTATTCTCCAACTATTGAAGTTTGAAGGATAATCACGTCAAAAAGGATACAAATCAAGTATGGGTTTTGTTGTACGGATTATATTTTATTCTCCAGTGCTTATTTCATCAAACTTTTCTCAGATGGTCTGATCATTATGATCTTTTCAAAGTGGCCAAACAACAACTTTATTATATAAATATACACTTTCTATTTCAGAAAAATAGTGTATATTTTATTTTGTAAACTGTATAATGTTGAACGGATGATTATGTGGAACAAGGAAATCAACATATTATTTGGTATATGGTCCTCTTCAAAGAATATTTTTGATGACGGAGGTAATGAAATTCCAAAGAAAAGGGGAAGAACTCTCATTTTCCGCATGTCTCCAACTTGAATTAAAGAACATTTAATGCCTTCAAGTTATTGACAAAATGGAAAGCTGACGCGAAGTGATCGTGGAAATCTGCCAAACCAGAAAAGATGAGATCAAGATACAACTTACTCCCTCCATTCCAATTTGCAGGTCGTTTTAGGTTTGAAGAAATTTTTTAAAATATAAATCATTTTAAAAATTTTAGGCAAATTAATGACTATTTTTCCAACTTTATTCTCAATAAATAATAATGCTAATATATTTTCATTTAGTCTTGTTTATAGTTTTAAAGTAATTAAGAGAGGTAAAACAGATATTTAACACATAAATTAATTGTTGAATGATTGTTTGCTTAGTTTACGTACAAAACTTAAAGTGACTTACATTTCGAAATGGAAGCAATATATATAGCTTCAGAATTATATTTCTCTCCGCCCTAGAAAAAAAATCTATTGTACAAGAATCATTCTCTCTATTCCAAAATAAGTGTCAATTTATAATTTGCACATAGTTTAAAGAACTCTTAAATAGAGTTGTAAAATTACTTGAATATCCTCAACCAACCCAATTAAAAAAATGTCCACTAATAATGTTAATTATTTTGAGGGTAATTTTAGAAAATTTAGAAAAAAATGCATTGAAATGTGAAAATGACACTTATTTTGAAATGTCTTAATTTTGCTAAAACGCACGTATTTTGAAAAAGAGTGAGTATTTAAATAAAAGAAGAAAATCATAGTACTTACAGAAGTTTTGACTGAATACATAAATACCCATATCTTTTCGCTTTTCATCTTTCCCATTTCTTGGAAGCATGCACGATTTTCTTTTTCTTTTTGTTTCTTTTACTGGGAGTACGTTACAAATACAATTCAGTGGATTGTTGGTTAGATGTATATGTATGTTGTTATTATAGTAAGGTTAAAAGTTTGTGTAAACGTAACATCACGGAAAAGGAGAAACGTACTTTCGTCCCCCCCGTTGTTGCCAATGCACCTAATTAATTAGATTAATTTACTAGCACGAATATGTCATCATCTAGGGTCTAGCCATTAATTAGTGTTATTTAGTTATCTAATTGTCACATTGTAATCAGAGATTATGGGCGCTTCTTTTCTCCCTTGGAATGATGTACACATGATTTCTTTAATCATCATGTGACAAACTCACATAGAAGCAAGATAGGCATTTTTAACGGTTACTTGTACGACGACTTAAAAGCGTTTTTCTTTTTCTTTTTTTTTTTATTTTTTTTTCTTTCCTTCTTTTCTGTAATTTTAATTTCTAATCCATCTTGTGTCTAGACTAGATTTACATTTTAACCTCATGTTTATAATCACTCAAATTTACTGCATTTTGCTGATACATACTCTGGTTGTAGTAAAGAGATCAGCAAGTAGCACATTAGGGTTTCAAAGTTAAGACCTAATAATATATTTGTTGCACTTGGTATTCAAACACTCATCCACAAAAGCTACAATTTATGCATTGCATCCTTCTTAATTTGGTATTTTTCTTTCCTTTTTTTGGTGCATAATTAATTTTTGAAAACGTTCAGAAATCATTTTCAAAAACATGTTTGGACATCATTCTAGTTTTCAAGCAAAGATAGCAAACAATTATACACTCTCTACACATAATAAAATGAACTTTTAAAAGGAGACCACGCGCGAGATTAGCCACACCTCTTTTGAGTCTTCGAGGTACACTTGCACAAACTTCTCCCACTCCTCTCACAGGCAGTCACAGCTCTCAACTTTTTTTGTTGAAAAAGGAAAAACTGAAAAAAGAGACGTCTTATAATAATAATTGTCTCTCATGCATTAATTAAATGATAATATTCCTCATCGGAAGCATGGCCAATACAATGTTTATATTATCCAAACAAAAAAAAACTCTATCCTTCTGGAACAATGCACTCTTTTTAAACTATTGATCTTATCTTTTTGCAGACATATTCTTGCTATATCAACTGTTTCTTATTTCCATTGAATAAAGAAACCGCAAATCTCAAACAATTAGACTAACATCAATCAATATTAAACCCTTAAAGGATATATCTGTGTCCATTCTATTGGAAATTGAAGCAGAAATCTACCTAAATCAATTAGAAATTAATCTGAATATGAATAATATGTGACAATACATACTTATAATTTGCGGCAGAAAAAAAAACATTATTTTTAATAATCGTCAAAGAGTTATACCCGGGGGTTCGAGAAGCTCATCATGTGGTCATATTCTTTCAGTTGATATAAATAGAATTAGTTACCACCAAAAACTGATTAGGTGCACGCAAATCAGTTAAATATCTATAACAATTATTAATTTATAGACGTATTAATTTATCAATAAATTAATAATTATTAAGTTATCGATAAATTAGCAATTAGTTAATAAAATCTATAGAGACGTTACAACTAATGTACTAAACTTTGACTTAGGATTAAATGATGATAATTCTATAATAACTTTTCGAAATGTTTTGTTGCAATATGAAAAATATACACCAAAACTTTTAAAAGCAATGGGAAAAAATCAAAGGTCAAAAATCTTTAGATGAAAATTTCAAGAAAAAACATGTGATACTAGATTCATATTTTACAATTTCTAAATTTTTTTTATTATTTTAAGTCATTATTAATTTATGATATTGACGGATCTTATATTTACATAGAAATTTTCTGAAAAATTATTATCTTATTATTTTATCGATTGCCTTCGCTTTTTGTATTGGTCCCGACTTGGGACCGGAAAAAATTAATAATTTATAGATATTATTAATTTATCGATTATTAATTTATAGATGTTATACTGTGCATATGGTTTTGGTTGCAATATCTATTTCAATTTTCCAGAATTTTTTCACAGTTCAGGAAATTGTATATAAAATTTTGCTCTATATGTCCTAAAAAAATAATTTACATTGAATTTTGAGATTTGTAATATTTGCTGTATAGTGTGTGCACCAACTTTTTTTTAAAAAAAAAAAAATTAATTGCCTTCACCTACTTGACGAGTTACTGTAGAGGTAGACTTAAAAATCATTATTTTGAGCGTAAGATGAGTAAATATGCTAAATTATCTATTACTTTGTGATGAAAATTGATCTTGGTTTCTGACTTTCTGTACACTAACTCAATCGGAATTATGAGCTTTGTGTAAAAAACTTGAGATTTAGGCCATCTTTTAGGGCAAGTGTTCGTTGATGTTGACAGCAAGAGTGCAGTTTTGATTATGAATTAGTCAAGAGGAAATTGTTGGTTTTCGTAGGGTTAACTCCGTGATACGAAGAGTTGGATTAGAAGAGATATATGATTGTTGATGGTTAATGAGGTCTAATTTCTTATCCAATGATTTGGCCTCTCCTTGGCAATAGTAAATTTTCAAAGTGTCAGATGATCTAACGAATAACATCAAAACCTAAGTAAAACACTTATCTACTTCAATTTGAGTTAATGTACGGTGTATCTTTATCAAGAGAAATATATTCATAACATCAAAACGTAAGTAAAATACGTATTTAGTTCAATTTGAGTTACGGTGTATCCTTATCAAGAGAAATATATTCATAAAAAAATATCCTCGTTTACGTATCAAATATTATTATCGTTCTCTCCGAATTATTATAATAATCGCATTCTAAAAAATGAGTATTAGTTATAGAAAGGAGGTATGAAAGGATACTTTTAATAACTATAAACAAACTTTAACGTGTTTTCAAAATTGAAACACTTGGACGGTGGATATGCAGCAACACAAATGAAAAATAAATAAATAGTAAAATTTCCCCTAACCAACTTCCATACGCTCATTACTCTATTTATAGTAAACCTGCTGCAAACACATCAATCTCACGCGTGTACTTTCTTATCCTTCATTCATTCTTTCTTTAAAAGAAAAAAGAAATACAGTCCAAAAAATCACATGAATCTTCCTTTTTACTATATATAGTCATTAGGATTTGGAATGAAACAGTAGCCCATAGAAAAATTTGTAGTAATAATAATTACTTATGGCTAATAAGGTGATATTAGTTCCATATCCAGCTCAAGGCCATGTAACTCCTATGCTGAAACTGGCCGCAGCCCTTCTCAACCACGGCGGTTTAGCTCCGATGTTGGTGGTGCCGGAGTTCATCCACCGTCGTATCTCGCCACAAATTGAGGCGGCAACCGGCGGAAGAATCCCTTGTGTGGCCATCCCTGATGGCCTAGATGATGATGATGAACAACCAGTTGACTTCTTTGTTGTGGAGAGGGCTATGGAGGAATCCATGCCCCTTCATCTTCAAAGACTTGTTCTTCATCATCAAAGTCGCCGTCATGGCGGCGGTGGTGGTGGGGTTGCATTTATGGTGGTTGATTTGTTGGCCTCGTACGCCATTAATGTTGGGAAGACTTGCGGAGTTGAGGTTGTTGGGTTTTGGCCAGCCATGTTTGCTACTTACAAGTTGATTGCTTCCATTCCTGAGATGGTTGAGTCCGGCCTCATTTCTGATGATTCAGGTAATTGTAAAAGAACAAAAAACACTATTTTGATTCATTTGAGGGGTTGAAGTATTTAGTTTTCTTCTATAAGTAATGATAAAGACAGTGACAATTTATAATAAAATAAAATAATGACTAATGAAAAGATAAATATACCATCCTCACTAAATATGTGTACTTATTAATTAGGGATAAAAATATAATGTTTAGGGAAAGATAAAATTTTAACGAAAAAGTGACAAAAAACTAGAGACCAAGAATACTCCACATTACTCACTATCTTTTTTCACTATACATATCATTTTCCTTCGTCTATTCTTGCTACAAAAATACTGCATCCGATCCTTATTATAAGGCATGCTTTGGGTTTTTTTTTTTTTTTTTTTGGTTCTGTTTATAAAGTATTTGATCGATGTTTTTAAGATTTCATTTACAGTGTACTTTCAGTTTCACAACAACTTAAATTGAGTAAACTCTAACTTGATTGGGTATTTTGAAGTGTCATGAGTACATATTTTTAACATGAGTAATATATGTAGTTTTTTTTTTAAAAAAAAAAAATACTAATAACTAACTTAATTATTTTTGATAATTCTTGAAAATTAGTTTAAAAAAAAGTCTTATATTTAGAACTGGAGGGAGACAAGAGTACAGCATGATCATGTATAGGATGTGTACCTATGATTAATAAGGTGATGTTAGGTGATGCCAAGAATTTTTTTCAGGAGTCAAATAGGTGTTAGTCTAAAACGGCATAAATATGTTTCATAAAAAATATTCTTTTCGTCTTAGAAGAATTCATTTTACATAGTTTTTTAGTTCAGCAAAATAATTTTCATTTTTCTAGGGCTCTTATATGAAACTGTAAAAATAAGCTTCTTTAAATATGACCTTTATGTCTTCCAAGTTAAAAGTCTTAACTCCATAGATAAACTTTGTGATCCGGCAAAAACCACGTACATTTCCGTAGTGATAGTGCGTCTCTCCAAAAATCGCAGCATGGCTTAGGGTTCCTTTAAAGAAAAGATGGAGGTAAGATTTCGATTTGGACATGAATAATGGGTCTCTTGGGTTTGACTTTAGAAGGATGAAAATCCCATACTGGTGGGCCATGGCAAAAATAAAAAGTTTCGACCGGAAAGATTGTAAAAAAATTTGAATTTTGAAATCTGAATTTATTTAAAAAATTAATATTTTATTAATTTGATATTAATATTATCTCACAATTTTTATTTTTTTTATTTCATTATTTGTTTAATTATTTTATTCAATATTAGGTTTTCTAAAAAATAATTTTTGACCTGCTGAAAATCCTCGTGCTGATTTGGCCCTAAATCTGATCAAATTTCAAAATATTGATAGAGGACAAAAAAAAATTACCAACGTAATTATAATGAAAGTAAACAGTTTCAGTCAAATATTATGGTAGAGCAAAAAAAATGTGTATTGGACCTAATGTAGAGGATTGATTTCAGGATTCGTTATAACTCCTTTTTCTTCATTGGTGTTCCCAAAAACAATCTTTTATTTTTAATTATCAAAATTCAAATTTATTTATTGTGTGGATCTATGTAGGCCTGTTGAGAAAGTGATATAATTATGAGGCAAGCTGATATCAAGTAACGGTCGCCCACTAATTAAATTGCAGGAAACTTATCGGCTAGTAACTTTTATTTTAATTTATAAATAACTCTATATCAGGAAAAAAAACCCACACAAAACACATAAATTACTACCACCGAGTCAGATGTATTAATTACTTCAACTCTATTTTTTCCTGTGTTTCGCGATTAGCCAAACTCTGGAGCCTCTTTCCCAACTGCGGACCTATTTATCACCGGATCTCCCCATTCCCATCCCACATGTCAATAGTGAATATGCTTGCTTGTGAACTAGGTCTTTAAAGAAAATGTGTTGCACGATATATCTAAACCATTTAGCAAAAATAATAACACTCTTCCCATTTTAAAAAAATAGTCCAACATGTTATACCGTTTTATTGTAACAAAGTAATTTAATTTGTTAGGACTGTATAGTAATAAAAATAACAAAACTCTTAAGTGATGTTAAAGATCCGTAAATAAGAGGTCAAGAGTCTGATCATTCCCTTTTTCTTTTTTCTTTTTTCCTAAACTGCAAGAAAGGTGCACCTTATTAATTTTCTGCGTGTAAGTACTTGTAATAATTTAACTCTGGTGTATAAAATTTTTTCCCTTTGTGATAACCATTATAATTTGATAACTCACTTTCTATTTTAGAATGGCAATTATATCTTTGTATGAATTATTTTTCTTGAACTGTTTTACAGTATTTATACGTCTTTGTTGTTAGGTTGTCCACTCCAAGATGCTCCCATGAGCCTTGTACCTGGGCAGCCTCCAATTTATGCTAAGGAAATGCCATGGCTAATTGGCACATCAACTGCTAGAAAAGTAAGGTTCAAATTTTGGAAAAGAACCTTTGACAGATCAACAACACTTGGATCTTTACTTGTGAATTCCTTTCCAGAGGAATGTAACTATTTTCCTAATCATTATGATTCCAATGAAGACTTAAGCAAGCCTGTCCAGATCATCCCAATTTGGCCCATAAATTATGGTACAAATGCTGCCACTGGTACCTTTTGGGAGGAAGACTTGAGTTGCTTAGAATGGCTAGACAACCAAAGTCATGGTTCAGTTATATACATATCATTTGGAAGTTGGGTGAGCCCAATTGGGGAGGCAAAGGTAAAGGCGTTGGCATTGGGTCTAGAGGCGTCCAAAAGGCCTTTTCTCTGGGTCCTTGGGCCTCTATGGCGTAAAGGGCTGCCGCTAAATTTCATAGACAAAATGACATCTAAAGGAGTACAAGGAAAAATCGTTTCCTGGGCACCCCAAATGAAAGTGCTTCAACACGAGGCCGTTGGTTGTTATTTAACACATTGCGGGTGGAATTCAACTATGGAGGCCATAGAATGCAAGAAGAGATTGTTGTGTTATCCTGTGGCTGGTGATCAGTTCTTGAATTGTGCTTATATTGTGAATTTGTGGAGAATTGGGGTGAGGTTGGATGGATTTGGAGGGAGAGATTTGAATGAAGGGATAAAGAAGGTTATGGAAGATAGGGAGATGAGTGAGAGAATTGTGAAATTGAATGGGAGGTTGATGGGGAAACAGCGTTGTAGTAGGAATGTGGCTGCCTTAACCACATTTGTAAATAGTGTGATGAGGAGATAGGTTGTTTTCAGATGAAACATAAATGTATTTGATATTGGCATATTAAGGATATAAATGTCTATTTCAATCCAAATTCTTTTATTACAAATTTGTTCGTCCGTAACATGTACGAGTATATATATATATATATATATATATATATATATATATATATATATATATATATATATTATATATATAAAATATATATATATAGTAACTTGGGTGTCAATCAAATGATTAAGAAGTATATCCAAAATCAAATTTGGTAGCAAAATGATTAAGAGGCGTGTCAATCAAATCATTTATTCATGTATTGCTTGTTCGGCTGGTCCATATATGACTGATTATTATTCAAAAGCAATCTGAAAAGTGAAACTATAGACTAATTCACTCGGGCTGAAAGATTCCAAAAGAGACATGATTCTCATTCGAATTCATCAACCATTCAAGAGTCCAGACGATCGGAACCTGAGGATTCTTCGTTGACTGTGATAGATGCCAACAAATGCAAACATACATATATATACTTTTATTCTATTTCAAAGTAATTGTTCTGTTTATTTTACTAAAAGCGGCATAAAAATGTAGATGATTTTAAATTTGTTGTAAAATACAGGAGGACATCGAGCATCACTCCATCTCTTACGTTTAAAACAGAAAATCTCATTTCCCTTTTACGATCTTGATTGGTGTCAGCTAACAAGACATGAACTACCGTTTACAACACATTCAGATTTCAGATAATCTATTCCGCAAGGGACCCATGAGTAATAACATAAATTTCGTTTGGTCTTGGAGTTTAAAATAAGACTTGAGTTGAGATATTTAAATGTTACGGTTATTTTGAAATCTTGGGCTCTGGATCTGGTTGTTTATTAGTACAGAAAAAAAGAAAATTTCAGGGAATGTCCTTGTATAGAGTCTTATACTACAATAATAAGCAATTATATATCCGGACATTTGATACTAAAAATTCGTTCAATGGATCGAGAATTAGAAGAAAACGAGGGGTCTTCGTACTACTAATGAACTCAACAGGGTTCCATTTCGTTTACTACTCTAAAGGGACTCCAGAATAACAAGCTAAAATACCAATACCAGTACAAATAAACTCATCAACTTCCCAAAGAAAAGAGAAGAGTCCGCAGCAATCAAATGCAGTCATATCCGCACTTCAGTTTCAAAAATCAGCAGCAAGGAAGTTCTCTGAGAGGGTTACCTGCTCAGACAATAACTTAAAATGAGAATCTGTGGATAATCCATGAACTTGGCACTAGGTATTATGCAACCTGAACTTCAAAAATCCTATTTTCTACAGACCGGTCAAAACAGTGAGAAATGCAAAAGATGAATTCTCTTGTTCTTATTAGACAAGTCATCAAGAACTTCAAAACATACGAAAACAAATAACTTAGACAAGAGCTATGATTCTACGAACAAAACGGATACTTACCTTTTCCCCTAGTTTAAAAGGAGGAAGACCCTTGTAAGGACATGTACTGCAGCGAAACGCATCTCCAAGACCGCACTGCATTATAAAAACCAGGAATGGATCAAAACAAAATTCCATTGAAGAAGAACAAGGATGAGAATAAAAGGAAGCAGGACATTGCTAGAGGATCCTTAGAGCTACAGCTATACAAACACAAATGGAAACTTTCTCACGAATAAACAGCCGGCAATTATTGCATATCTTCTTCTAGTCAGGAGGAAATCATCACAAAAAGAAACAGAAGAAGTTGATTTTGCAAGGGGAAAATAGTCCAGATTAACATAATCAACAAGTATGGCGAAGGACTGAGGTAACGTTGTAAATTAGAACTGAGGAAGATATGAAGGAAACAATAATACACACATTGCCACAAGCAGACTGAGGATTTTCCAGCTGGTCCATTGTAACTCCCAACTTCTCCACTTTCTGCTCAGCTTCGGCTCGGCCACAGGTGCAATTTTTGCAGGCTTTCCTTGTTTTTTCGACTTCACAATCACCTGGTAGATTAAGTTGCCGGTAGCTCAGTTTCAGCTTATACTGAAGAGATTGCTACAAAAATAATCATAAGCTGCAACAAAAATGATAATTTCTTACCAACTGGCAACTGTGGCTTCCTCAAATCCTCTTCAGTTAACAGGCTATCTTCATCTATCAAGTCAAAATCATCGTCCACCTGGAGTACAGGTAAATTTTTTGCTTGTTTCTTTATCGAAAATGATGAACCAATCGTCCAAGAAGCCTTTTTGCCAACAATCTGTTGAGAGTAGAAGTTTTAGTTGCAACATAAATCGTATATAAGAGAAGAAATAGGCACGTTGACATTGTATTCACATATGATGGGACCTCACAGAAAGATGAAACAAACAGGACATTACAAAAATGGAACAAACCCACGAAACTGACCCCAATAGAACGACCAGCTTCAAATGATTCCACATCCAAGAAACCTGCCAACAGTAACTTGCGCTCAATAGAAGACTTGGTCTGCAATAAAAACCCAAGCAAGAGAGTTATGGACAGATAATATACATAGTCCAAAATGTAACGAGTTAGGGAAAGAGTAGTCCAATGGAATAGTACACAAAACTTTACCGCTTCCAAAGCATTAGATTCAGCAGGCAGGTGCAATAAAGCTGTTCCACCAGGCTTTAAGACCCTTGAGATATCCGTAAACAATTTATCAGTTAAATACCCAGATGACTTGCTCATAACTACAGTTACATCCTTCGAAGAAGATTCAACTGGCAATGCACCTAATAGGAGGAAAATTTTGAGAGCATTATGAGCAAGGTAATAATTGTCAGGAGCAAAAAGAACCTTACAGCCTAAAAAGGAAAGGAGAAGCAACAATCGCAAAACAACTACTAATAAGAGAAGGTAAAAAAATTTTACTCTGAGATGAAGCCTGAGTAAGGATTAAAGGATCGGGTTGCTGCTTCCCTCCCTTATTGACCATATTAAGGGCATCGATGGCTTCACTAAGCTGCAGCACCACTCGATCTGTAACAATTAGTATCTCATCCTGCACAATATCCATTATCAATCATATGCATCAGATTATATTCTGAAACAGACCTTCTTCAATATAGTAATTGCTCAGAAAAACTTTGAAAGCAAAATTTTCACATTGTTCTTGTTGCCGACAAATTCACATTCAATTGCAGATCGACAGTAAAGAAACTAGTTGATAATCACACAACAAGCAGTACTCAAGAAACTAACATTTACTTTCACAGTATTTGTAGAATGCTGCTGTGATTCTTGGAGAGGTCATTAGATCAAAGAGTTCAGACCCAACCATGAAGTATAGTCGAACCATTACAAATTTGATGTCAGCTGCTAACTCAGTTTGTTGATTGCAACCCCTTCTACAACAAACCACCCCCCAACCCCCAACACCCACCCACCCAGAAGGGAAACAAAACGGTCATCCAAATTCATTATAACTGGTTGGTCAGCCTGAAGTGAGTCCCTATGTGAAGAAATGAAATGCCATCCAATCATTATAGATTACATTTATCACTCTACACAATTTAACAGAGTGGTTCCTTCTGTTGACCACCTCCGAGTATGCTTTGGCTTTGTACATGAAGAGAGAGCCTAACTAACAAGCATGATGTAAAACGATGTTGCATCCACTTCCCACGTAGTATTATCATATTACAGATTTCAATAATACATGGAACTATTGGTCTGAGCATCTACTTCCCACGTAGTATTATCATATTAAAGATTTCAATAACACATCGAACTATTGATCTGAGCACTTACATTGCCAAGGAAGAAAAAAGAATCTCAAAACTGCCCATGTTTAACCAGACAAATAGAAACCAAGATCTCCAAGCATATCTGTACCCTATCTAGACATCCTTACACAAAAAAGTGCCATCAAGAATGTAAAAATTTCAGACAATACCCATCTCATTCTCAAGAATTTGACTAAGTGATAGAACGCATGCTCATCGACACATAACATTTCTCTAAACATTTTTCTTTCCACTTTCAGAGAAAACGTAAATGAGCAAACATCTGACTGCCCTAGCATCATAAATCATTCTCTGTTGCCAGAGGAGTTCTATAAGAGGCCGTTTATACAACTCAAACCTAACAGTCACACGGAAGAGAACTCCACAGTATTTAGCATGGCGATAGGTTTGATTGAACTAGTTCTGCTGAGTACAATGTAAACAGTTCCTCTCTCCTTCATTCCCATTTCCCACTAACATAGGGCTAACCCTTTTGTACCTGTAAAAACAACAAACCTACTTCCTGACAGAAAGCCTCGAGTTGAGTTGCCGTAGCCAACTCTAAGGGGGCGGTGCTATTTCGTACCTTTGAGCAAGTTAATTAAAAACCGAAGGCAAAACCCTATTACCAAGACCTGGAATTCAGTTCAGAGCTCAAAATCGAAAAACCCTATCGTTAACCGACATTAAAACAGAAAGAGCAAAGATCAAAATCTTTGTTTTAATCTACAAGGGGTTAAGGGATCATCACGAAAACGTCTGAATAACAGAGGGATCAACGGGTCACCACAGTATAGTAACAAAATCAGATATAAATTCAAGTAGGAAGTGAAAAAACGGAAAAAAGAACCTGGGTCCTGAGGGAAGCCGACGAGGTGGTAGGAGGATTAACATCTCCGGCAACAGAGAATGATTTAGCGTCCATCTCTCTAATAAATTTAATCGATGATTAATTTGATTTCTACTAAACCAAAACCTCAAAAGAATTACAGTATGAACGAACCAAGAGATGAATGATTAGCAGGTTCCAACCCATCCAGCTGCTCTGCAGAATTAATAACCGACCGCCGCCGCCAAACTCCGTACGACACCGTTCTAATCTTTTTTTAAAACAAACTATTTTATTGTTTTAATGTCATTTTTAGAACAATAAAATAATTTTAAAACAATACAATAAATTCCAATTTCCAAAGAGACCTCTTGTGAGTTGTAACGGGTCGGCCGTCTAGGGGTGTCAATTCGAATTAGCAGGTCGATTTCGTGTTATGTATTCTATGTGGTTTATAAGTATTTTTGGAGCAAAAAATACAATAAAAACGCAAATCGTGTCAATCGTGTTGTGTCGTGCTAGGTTGTCTCTGTAAATCGTGTTGTCGTGTTAGAAATTAACACCTCTACAGCCGTCAGCCTAATAAAAAAGTTAACAAATTTGTAACAATTTTTAGCTAAACAATAATACTAGGGTTTAACAAAAATAGACTTTTTCTCCAACGAAATTTAAAATAATTATTAACCACGAAATATAACTTTTACCTTACTATCGTGTTTAATCCTCTTTGACATTTTAGTACAGTAGAACGTCGGTAAATTAATAATATATAAATTAATAACTTCTAGTAATTAATAATTTTCTCCAATTCCAACTTGGGACCAGTAAAAAAAATTAAAAAAAAATCGATAAAATGATAGGATAATAATGTTTCATAAAATCCATATATATATATATATCTATAGGTCCCAAAAATATCATAAATTAATAAATACCCAAAAATCAAAAAAATAATAGTAATAACTATAAATATTTATTTAAATATGAACTATTAATACTTATTTTTTAGTCCCTGGAGATGATAAGAACTATGTATAGATGTTTAGTATTCAAAAGAGTTTTTTTTTTTTCTTTTTTTGACATCAAAAAGACAGTTTTTATTATAATTGCTGGAATGTGTCTACCGGCAATTGACAAATAGTTACTGGCAATTCCGGCCAAACAGTACAAGTTTGATCATCACTTTTGGCGATAGCCGCTAGTTCATGAGCTATACTATTTTCCGTTCCCTTAATCCAGAAAATACCAAGCGGAGGGTTACGAGCCATCAATCTCCAGATATCGCCCAAAATTGGAGTGGCATGTGTTGGACAAGGTTGAGAGCCTTGTACTGCGAAAATTACTGCTATTGCATCGCCTATAACAACATAATTTTGAAGGCCCTCCTTGGTGGTTAGGTTAAGTGCTTCACGGATTACAAAAAATTCAGCCAGCTCCGGGTCTTGTATACCTTCGATCCTTCGAGCTAGAGATCCCCCGTATAAAGACTCCAACTGCGTTTACCATATTTTTCAGTCAAACGCAGCCATCATCCAGATCAAACTTGTTCACATGCGAATCCAAGCCTGCTAACTGACAAACCTCTTGTGCTTGCACACATCTAAAGAACATATGGGTGGTTGAATGATCCAGGTTGCCGCAACTATTACACAGCTGATCAAATTGAAGGTGGAGCGGTTTGAGATTTTCTGGGCAGGGTAAAGAGTTGTTGCAATAGCTCCATAGAAAATGGCATAGTCTATGGGGGATCTTAACCTTCCACACCTTCCTCCAAAATGGAAGAGCCGCTTGGATTGCCACTAAATATGGTGGCTCTGAAGCATTCAAAAAACTGAAATAGGCCGAACGTACCGAGAATTTTCCATTTTTGTTGTGATGCCAGCACTATACGTCCGACATAACCCTCGCAGTTATTGGGAGCGAGAGGATTCGATCCACCACCGGTTGATAAAAAAATGTCCCGAATTAATGTCAGATTCCAGCAAGCTTCTATCTTATCAATAAGTTCCGAGACCATGGATTCTGCCAACAAAACTTGGGCTAGAATGGATTAGTGATGGGACCCGTAGTCCCACTTGTTGTGACCCGAGTTGTTCTTCATGGGTCGGGTTAGATCCGGTCAATGAAAGAGTGGCCACCAGGGACTATGGTTTGCTAGTACGGGAATAAAGGCGAAGATCCCTTCTCCAGCCTTATGCTCTTGCCTAGCCATTTCTGGAATACAAACAGAGCAAAAGGTCAGAAGAGGATGAAGACATCCAGATTCCAGAGGGGAGATCTAAAGGTCATTCATATGCCCAATAGATCTGGGCCCTTCATTTCTAAGGTATCTCCCCTATAAATACTTCACATCATCCTCCAGGTAAAGGGTTCACACTCTTCTTCTCTACTCTACCTTTTACTTCATACCTAACCACCATGATTCCATGGATGGTCTTATCTCTACCCCAATTAACTTGGGCATCGGAGTTCGGTCCCGGGATGCACTCCGGGATGAGCACTAACCCACTTTCTTTTTTACAGGTTTTACCATCAAGCCAAGCATAAAGAGAAGGCCTAGCTGCACTGTAGATGGAGTTCAAGACATGGTTCTCACTTTGTCATTTATTGGGTTCCATCAACTAGTGTTGGGCCGATTTTTTCCCCTCAATTATTGGTCTACCATGACGAGAAAACCAAAACCCATTTGGTTTTGAGTTTTTGGCCGTGGGAGACAAAACCCACTACACTTGGGTTTGTTTTTGATGCTTATAAAAGCAAGATAGCACAACCTTTTGTGCGTCTGATTCCAGCCGTGAGTTTTGCACAAGCAAAAAGTAGCAGCCGCACTAGTTTTCTGTGCGAGAGAAGAAGGGAGAGAAAACTAGGGTTCCAGGGTTTTGGTGTTGCGAGAAGAAAGTGTTTCACTTTGAGATTTTGATTGGGTAACGAAACAGAGTCAGTTATTGGTGCAAGTTTGTATGTGTATTCATCTCAACAAGATCAACATTTCCTCCAGTTTAGTTTTCGGTTTAACTCTCTTTTGGTGAGATCCTTCTAATCCTACTTTGTGATAGGTGTGTGTGGAAGAGTATTGTTGTAATCCACCTTTGAATGAAGTCCTATGTATCCACCATGTGGTAAAGACTATTTTCCCATTATTGTGATAGTGGAGATTTGACTGTTGTTACAGTTCCGTCATTTTTTTCGATTTAGGTTTTTCACGTAAATCTGTGTGCCTACTTTACTTTATCAGTTCTTTGATTGTTTGCTTGTTTGGTTGGCTTGGTTAGTTGTCCTATTTTATTGGTAATAGGAAAAGAGTTTTTCCTGAGGTTCGTTTCCGCTGGTTTATTGTGTTTATACCCTTTTCGCCACAAAACTAGAATATCAGGCGGCTTTGGTGATCCATGAATCACCCCATATTTTGGTTTGTTCTCCTGAACAAATGACCTTTCGGCATCCCGTGTGCAGTACTCTCATGTTAGCTAGTTTGCTTCTCCAGGTCTACGAATTTTAATACTTGATTAATTCGGATATGAAGACAATTGCAAATTAATGAACTTAGTTATGGTTTTTTTTCTCATTGATTATTTAATAATTTTCTAAATTAATAAATTTTGGCAGTTCTAACACTATTAGTACTAATGTAACTAGTATTTTTTGATGAAAGACGATAGATCGAGAAGGGATGGAGAATAAATATCGATAGATTGTTGGTCTTTGTTTTTTTTTTTTTAAATTACATCGGCAGATGTTATTGTTTTAAGAGTTTGCGCCTATCTCTAGGAATTTTAATAACGTTACAAACATTACACCTATCAA